GTTATATTATGTTGTGTTATATTATGTTGTGTTATGTTAAATAATGTTATATTATATTATAATATATTACATTATAAATTTAATTATGATGTTATTTAATATTTACACTAATGCATTTATTCTTTTATTTATTTATTTTTCAGTATTTACTTATTCTACACGCTGTTGTGTTTGTTTACTGTTACTGTTCACATGTACCCTTTCTTCACCTCTCATTTATGACTCTTTGTTTTCTGGCATTTACACAAAGCGTTGTTGCCTTTAGATTGTCCCTCTGTGTTCCAGTTCATAAGGTGCAATTGTGTGGTATTGAAAGAAGGGATACGTGTTAAGTAATTGCATTGTGTTTTGAAGTTTCAGTGTTTTACTCAGTGTGAATGTGTCAATAACCGCAGGACACGTTCATATTGATTTATGCTTTATGCCTGTCATTTTGACCAATGAATATGTGATTTATGAGAGTTTTGAGGACTGAAACGATTTTTCAGACTTATGAAATTATCATAATGGTTTCACACTATTATGTTTAGAAATGTGTTAAAGAAAATCTTCTCTCTGCAATACAGAAATGGGGGGGAAAAATAACCAGGGGGGCTAATAATTCTAAATTCAACTGTATATCTGAATTCTGAAAGAGTTTGGTTTATGTTGTCGACATGTTAAAAAGACACTGTGTTGCTGTGCTGCAAATGTAAACATGGACGACAAGCATTTCCAATTGATGAGGGCTGAGTCTCTAATTGATGAGGTTAAACCAACGCCATTGTTACTGTTTGTATCTGTACACAAGCGCTGAGTAGCTGCAATTCTTTAAACTGTCACAACAGACTGCCTTATCTGACCAATCAGAGCAGAGCAGACTCTCAGAATGAGCGGATCCTTGAGCACTGTGAGAACAGAGGTGATGCTGCAATATACAGTTGAAGTAAAAATGATTAGCCCTCCTGTGTTGTTTTTTTTTTTTTTTTTTTTTTTCAAATATTTCTCGAATGATGTTTAACAGAGCAAGGAGTTTTTCACAGTATTTCCTATAATATTTTTTTTTCTTGTGGAAAAAGTCTTATTTGTTTTATTTTGGCTAGAATAAAAGCAGTATATTTTTTAAAACCATTTAAGTTCAATATTTTTAGTCCCTTTAAGCATTTCTTTTTCTCGATTGTCTACAAAACAAACCACTGTTATTCAATTACTTGTCTAATTACCCTAACTTGCACAGAGTGTCTGCAGGGTCTTAAAAAGTCTTTAAATGTTTTAAATCTCAAAAGCTAAATTTTAGGCCTTAAAAATCTTAAATCTACTGAAATGTTGTGTTGTAGGTCTTAAATCTTTTTTCATCAGGACTTAATTTTTCATTGTTCATGTAGAGCTAACAAGTTTGGACATTAACATCCATACAATCTCCAGCAGACCATCTCAATAAAACTTTATCTTTAAAAAAAAAAGCATTTAATTACTTTACATCACAGATAGTAACATTAGCTTAAAGGTTCTTCATTTATTTACTGCTGAGGATACTAACCTATAATTTTTATTATTAAATTATTATTATTGTAGACTGAAGTAATTGACGGCTATGTTTTGTTTTATTCTTGGTAAGGGTTGTAGAGTTTGTGAATGAATATATTTGAAAATTAATTTAAAAAATATTCAAACAAAATTATTGTAATTATTGTATTATTAATAAATGTATTCAATTTTAATCATTTTTGATAGGGCTAGTGAAAATCTGTTCTAACTGGAATATCCGAAAAAACATTCATAGCATTTAATCCTGTTTAAGTCTGCTTTCACAATGGTCTTAAAAATGTCTTAAAAAGTCTTACAGTAAATATAACTTGGAGAAACCTGCAGAAAACCTGTTGCATAATTAATCTAGTTTAGCCTTTAAATTGCACTTTAAGCTGACTACTAGAATCTTGAAAAATATCTAGTAAAATATTATTTACTGTCATCATGGTGGAGATAAAAGAATTCAGCTATTAGAAATTAGTTATTGAAACTTTTGTTTAGAAATGTGTTGAAATAAATCTCCTTTCTGTTAAACAGAAATTGAGGGACATTCTGACTTTAACTGTATATATCATAACAAAATATTGTTTTTTGAAAGTAAGATAGATGTTCACCTGTTTTAGTAGACCTCCAAAACAAAATTAGCATCATTAAAAATAGCATAAATTCTCCCACTCTTAAAACACAGGCAGATGTTTGCGTTTTGCCTCCTTTTTTTCTCCCTGGCACATGTACTCAGCAGATGAGTTATAAATAGGCATATCTTAAGTGGCTAAAGCCAGTGTTGCCCATCTGTTAACTAACAGGAAGCTTCTAACAGGGACATCTGCCCTGTAGGGCAATAAGGTTGTGGTCTGCTGTCCCATCTGAGGAAAGTAATAAACTCAGGTGTAATGTTTAGCTCATCCTAGCAGAGACGGACCTCTCAAAAGTTAGATTTGCCCTAAATCCCCTTAGCATCTCCCAATCTGTGCCATGTGATGGTGAACAATGTAAGCTTCTTAAGTATAATCCATCCAGGCAGAAGAGGGCTGACACAGCTGCTCCTCGCACCTCATATGCCTCCTCTGGGAGTCTAGCATGAGGGGAAGTGGACTTGGCCAATTTTTTTATATTTCTTACACAAAAATGATTTGGGCAACTAAGTCACAATGAAACTATATTGTGCAAACTGTGAACCAAAGATGACTTAAAATTAGGAGCTGGCAGTTTAACGTTATTAATGTTTATTTTTATAAAGTGGGACATTTTTTAATGCAACTAATGCACCTGACACTTGTGTCACTTAATGTTAAAAAATAAATAATGTTAAATAATGTTAATGTTAAATAAAAGTTTAGTATCTAGTTTTGCAATATCACATGAGTAACAAGTGCAATGTCAGGTTTCTCATACATTCACATCAGCATTTAAGGGGAAACACAAAATCATTAAGAACAATATTCACTCACCACTTTATTAGGTACACCTTACTAGTACCAGGTTGGACCCCCTTTTGCCTTCAGAATTGCCTTAATCCTTTGTGGCATAGATTCAACAAGATACTGGAAATATTCCTCAAAGATTTTTGTCCATATTGACATGATAACATCACACAGTTGCTGCAGATTTGTTGGCTGCACATCCATGCTAATCTCCCGTTCCACCACATCCCAAAGATGCTCATTTAGATTGACATCTGGTGACAGTGGAGGCCATTTGAGTACAGTGAACTCATTGTCATGTTCAAGAAACCAGGCTGAGATAGTTCACGCTTTATGACAAGATGGATACACTGTAGTAATAAAGGGATGGACATGGTCCGCAACAATACTTAGGTAGGCTGTGGCCAAATTCTGACTCTACCCTCCGAGTGTCGTAGCAGAAATCAAGACTTATCAGACCAAGCAACGTTTTAAAATCTTCAATCGTCCAATTTTGGTGAACATGTACCAATTGTAGCCTTATTAGCACCTAGTATGGTCTTCTGCTGCTGTAGCCCATCCGCCTTAAGGTTCGACGTGTTGTTTGTTCAGAGATGCTCTCCTGCATACCACGGAGTGGTTCATTGAGTTACTGTTGCCTTTCTATCAGCTCAAACCAATCTGGCTGTTCTCCTCTGACCTCTGGCATCAACAAGGCATTTGCGCTCACAGAACTGCTGCTCACTGGATATTTTCTCTTTTTCAGACCTTTCTCTGTAACCCAAAAGATGATTGTGTGTAAAAAATCCTAGTAGGTCAGCAGTTTCTGAAATACTCAGACCAGCCCATATGTCACCAACAACCATGCCACATTTAAAGTCACTTAAATCACTATTTGCCATTCTATGCTCAGTTTATACTTCAGCCGATTGTCTTAACCATGTCTAAATTCCTAAATGCAGAGTTGCTGCCATGTCATTGGCTGATTATAATTTTGTGCTAACGAGCAGTTGGACAGGTGTACCTAATAAAGTGGCCGGTGATGGTGTGTTTTTAATTCAGGAAAAAAAGATAGCAGTTTGAAAGTTGTAGGAAACACACTCATACCTCATATGCAACAGACACATTTTCTTATATAACATTCTGTGTTATAAGGAACCGGTAAGATAAGACAAATGTTTACTTGTGAATGTACCACAAATCATATTCCAGTACCTACAAAAACTTTAAAGTGTAACTTTTAATTAACATTAAATTTGATGATTTAAGTATGCAAAGTTAGAGCCATTAGGTTGTGTGTTGCATTGTTCAATCTGCAAATTTTCAATGATAACCCAGGTTTAAGGCTTGCAAAACATCAATGTATGAATACCTAGCATGTCACATTCAGATAAAAGAAGAGCATTGTGAAGCAAGATTCCGATACTGTATATCTGGAGTTCAGAATGACCCAGACCCTTTTTTGAAAACCTTCATCACATCGACATCCGAAAGGTTATGAAGTATGAATGGAACATTAAGGTGGATGTGAGACTTATAGCAACGTTTCACAGCATAAAACTAACAACATACATCAAGTGGGCTATCAGAGACCTGCCTGAGGGCTGAGCAGCAATGCTGAGAGCGTTAACCTTGTGTGATATAAACTGCAGGCACAAAACAAGCTATTTCTGTTCTCTATGAAGCTGTATGGAAATGACACTGATGATGACCATACACCACCTCCTCCATTCATTCTGTGCCGGTAGAGATTGATTCTGTTTAGAAAAACTGTTAAGAAAAGACTTTTACAGTCAGACAGACACTGTTGAACAGTCTGAACAGTATTTCTGTTGATTTATTAATAATAACAAGATGTACTTGGTTGAATATGCTCTTAGGCTTCTACTCTAAGGCAATGTGAATGCCTACTCTGAAGACTTGAGTTAAACTGATTGATTCATTTTATAAATTTTCTTTACAAATGTTTGGGTGTATTGTCTTGTGAAGGAGGGAATATGAACAAAGATTGTATGACATTAGTCTGAAAAAGAATAAATAATGACAACATTTTCATGACCAAGTCACAATCTGGTTTTGTTTCCATAGATTACCTCTGCGGTCCAGAGCAGAACGTCCACAAGATCGACTTCACTAGGTTTAAAATCCGAGACATGGAGACCGGCACGGTTCTCTTTGAGATCACCAAACCACCAACCTCTGGTAAGACCTCTCGAATCCACTTCCTCGCTCCACCTACACAGACTGCACATTTAAATGCAAGACCCGTCTTGATTTTTTTTTTTTCCCCAAATAAAGCCCTGATTTCCATTTAGATGCAGTGTGCTACACAAGAGCCCTTCAAAGGCTCATTGGGTAATGCAGTCCCCTTTGTGATTCACAGAGACTGGGGAGGACAGAATGGACTTTGAGCAGAACGCTGGAAGATTTGTGCGTTACCAGTTCACCCCGGCCTTCCTCAGACTGCGGCAGGTTGGAGCCACGTAAGTCAAATCAGTGGCAGTAACCTAAACTTAAGCTGCATCCCAAATGGCACACTATCCACTTCTGCACTATGTATTTATACACTTACATCCTCAACAGCATGGCATATGAATGTAGTGTCGTTTCAAATTGAACATTTTTTTTTTTTTTTTACTAAGCGGAAGTTCAAACCGTTTCCCTGATGATGTTTGATGGTTGCCGAATTAGCGAAATGAAAGAATAAACTACCACATAATTCCTGTCATAAGTCTAACCACATTCACCATAGGGAGACGGTATAATCACTCTTATAGGAGAATTTAGCTTTCATAATCCAAAATAAATAATGTAATTCAACATGAGCGCCTGATAGCTCCACCCCTTCCACTAGACTACGTGAGCAAATCAGTGGCGGTTGAGTGTGTGAAATGTCCAACATTCCACACTCCTTTTGAACGGTTGAGTTAGTGCATCATGCAGGTATTTAAAGTGCACTTATTATTTTTAGAGATTTCAGTGTGAACGCACTACTTACACTATTTATACTACAAAAATGAAGTAGAATAGTACATAAGTATGCGATTTAGGACGCACCTTTAGTCTGAATTCATTCTTAAATCTGTTTGGCTTAAACTTATAAATAGGTTAAGGCAGTGGTTCTCAAACTTTTTTCATTAAGTACCACCTCAGAAAAAAATTGTCTCTCCAAGTACCACCAAAATGAGCAGTATTGAAATACAGTAGCGAAGTAGGCCCAGTAAAGCAGCACAGTTAAAAAAACATGGCCGATTACCTCAGAAATATAGGCTATATGTCATATATGGCATATTATATACAGCATTTTTGGTAAATTTTGAAATGTGTGTAGCATGTACATGACATATTTCCTTCCTCCGCGTACCACTTGAACAGTGGTCACCAAACTTGTTCCTGGAGGGCCGGTGTCCTGCAGATTTTAGCTCCAACTCTAATCAAACACACCTGAACAAGCTAATCAAGGTCTTACTAGGTATACTTGAAACATCCAGGCAGGTGTGTTGAGGCAAGTTGGAGCTAAACCCTGCTGGGACACCGGCCCTCAAGGACCGAGATTGGTGACCCCTGCACTAGAAGGAAGACTGCATACCACTAGTGGTACACGTACCACAGTTTGAGAACCACTGGGTTAAGAGATAAAAACTTTGAAGCTATGATAGTAGAGGCAGCAGCGCAAAACACAAGCATTGTATTGCTCGTAGTAAAGGTACTCCTAACATAGTTGATAAAAATGTGTTTGTTTATCCCCTTACATTTAGAATGGGTCATGTTTATTTTTTGATTATGATTATTAAACATATTATAATTTGCAGAATCTTATTTCTTATTTCGCTGCTGTTCTTTTTTGTTGTTTTTTTTATCATTTGTAATATAATAAAATTTGATGTTTTATGTATTTTAGTAAGAACAGATCAGATTAAATATGTCTTTTTATCTTCACATTAATATGTTATGCTGAAGGGTGATGAAACATTATTTTTTGCCTATTTTATTTTAAACACATTTTATGTTGGCGCAATAGCATAGTGGTTAGCACGCTGACATATGGTGCAGTAGCACTTCAGGGTGTCCTGAGTTCAAATCCCGGCTTGAGGACATTTCCTGTTCCTATCCTCTCTCTCTCCCATTTTGCTTCCTGTCTGAAATACTATCCTATCAACTTAATAAAGGCCAATAAAAACATTTTATTTTCACAAGTTATTCAAAACGTTTTCAAACCCTTTAAAGTCATGTATTGGTGTGACATAAAATTTTAAATACTGGTTGGAGTTCATTCTTAATAATTTAATCATTATATAATGTTTTTCATTGTAATACTAGAGGCTGTAAATTTCCCAACACTGCCCTATTAGTTTAATTCCAGAAGAATCAAACTTTGTATTTCGAATGCATGATTTAGTTTGAATTTTGACTTTATATTTCTCAAAGTAAGGAAAGTTTAGGAAAAAAAATGTTTTATAGTTTCCATAAAAACATTAAGCAGCACAACAGCTTGCAACAATAATATCAATAAGGTATAATGGGATCATGATACTGTAAATGTAGTTTTGCCAACACAAGATTAAATTACATCTTAAAATATATAAAAAATATATGAAAAACTTTTATTATTTCAAAATAATACTGTTTCTGCTGCAGTTTTAAACAAATAAGTTAAACCGTTAGTTTGTGCGTGTGAAGTTCTGTAGTATAGCGCTGCGAAATTAAACAAGATGATTAGATATTTAAAAAAGGGAGCGATTGGTCCATGTTTTTAATTTCAGTCTAGAGAGGTCATGTTTTAATCCCTGATTGGTCTCGCGCAGTCAAGTGATGCAATTTCACAGGTCAGAGTTCACCAAGCTTGAACTTTCCAATGCAGCGAACTGTGAAACTTGTTGCACAAGCTTGTGTTTCTGGTCTGACTCATTTGTGTACGTATGCAGTGGCGCCTGCAGCTGTACGGTTAGCTCAATAATCTGGAATGTAGCTTCTTACTAAAATGCACTGAGTGTTAATTAAAAAAAAGCACTTAAAAGATATTAACTTATATTAGCAAACATCTCTGAAATTGTACTTTGCTGTTGCTTATTGGAAGACTCTCTGTTTTGGCCTTACCTAACTTCATCTCTTATTGAAGATTTTTCTGTTATGAATGAATATCCACAAGGAAGCAAGTTGCCTTTTGTTGATCAGGTTCATCAACTCCCAGTAGCTCAGTGGTAATGTGACTCACCTCTCACACCAGAGACCCGGGTTCTATCCCCGACTCTGACAGATGCAGAAGACCAAGATGATGAGAAAGGCCAAGAAGACGAAGAAGAGGATGACAAAGACAAAGGAGTTGACGACAAAGACCAAGAAGACCACAAAGAAGAGCATGATAAAGACAAAGAAGAGGACTCAAAAGATAAAGGCAAAGAAAATGAAGAGGATGACAAAGAAGACCAAGACGAAGGAGAGGATGATAAAGACAAAGAAAACAAGACAAAAAAGATGACGAAAAGACCAAGCCCAAGAAGAAGATAAGCAAATGTAGATGAAGAATAAGACCAAGACAAAAAAGATGACGAGAAGTCCAAACCCAAGATGGTAAGGAAGATGAAGACTAAGACCAAGACAAGAAGATGATGAAGAAGATATAGATGAGGACAAAGAAGATGGTGACAAATATAAAGACTAAGACCAGATAAAGAGAAAAAAGACAAGGACTAAGACCAGACAAAGAATATGACAACCAAGACAAAGATGAAAACAAAGATGACAACTAAGACCAAAAGGCCAAGAAGATGACAGTAAAGAATAAGAATACTAAGATGACAAAGGGGATCTGGGACTTTGATACCAAGTCATTCCAATTTTAGCGTTGATTTCTTTTATTTTAATTAGTCTATAATTGCTTCTGAAGTGGCAGATGCCATCATCCCACTTGTCTGCGCTTTGCTGTTTATTTATTTGTTATTGTGGGTGTTTCGCATAGTTAGGATTTCTTATTGGGCAGTACAAAAGTGTGCTTACTTAATTGGCTAGTCAGACGAAGTTCACACATTTGTTCTGGGTGGGGGAAGTTAAATAATATATTTTTTCATATCACAGCCTCTTGCTCATCGCAACATTTAAAATCGTGATTGCGATTCAATTTTAATTCATCGCACAGCCGTAGTTGAAACTAAACTGTGCAGAGCTGCATAGTTTAAACCCTTTATGATCAGAAGAGACTACCAAGACCTCACAAGAAATGCATGTTATGTGTCTTATCCTGAACATATGAGAATCTGCTGAAAAATGTCCCATGCCTCCTCCACAGGGTCGAGTTCACCGTAGGCGATTCTCCCATCAACAACTTCCGCATGATCGAGAGGCATTATTTCCGTGGGCAGTTGCTAAAGAGCTTCGACTTTGAGTTTGGTTTCTGCATCCCGAGCAGCAAGAACACCTGCGAACACATCTACGAGTTCCCACCGCTGTCTGAAGACATAAGTACGTCGCAGACATTTATTAGCAACTCAGAATCTTATTATGCTGATGTGTTGATGTACAAATGTGTTTTTTTTTTTCCCCACAGTGCGTGAAATGATTCTTCACCCCTATGAGACACAATCCGACAGCTTTTATTTTGTGGACAACAAGCTTGTAATGCACAATAAGGCCGATTATTCTTACAATGGAGGACCGTAGGGGATATATGACATCATGAAATCTGCAATGATTTGCTGTGGACTGGCACAGAAACATCTACTGGAAGTGGCACTTATTCAACACCCAATGCTCTTCAAAATAAAGGTTCCAAAGATGTGTTTTATCAATAGTAGAATTAGTGAACAGCTCTTTACTTAGCAACTGTTGTCCATAAAGAATGATGGAAATGTTCTTTAGATAATAAAGTTCTTCGTGGAACCATAGATGCCAGTACAGAACCTTTATTTTTAAGAGTGCAAACTCAGGATTTTTGTGTATGTGTGAGGCAGAGGAAACAATACTTTCAAAAAGGGCCTGCTTTTTTTCCCCATTACAATCATGTAGAGTATGTGACAATTGTGTCTCTTTTGGAGTATGTGAGTGTGTCTGTGCATTAAAGGTGCTGTATGTACATTTTTGAAAGTATGTTTACAGATATTTAAAAAAAAATGCTAGGTGAACATACTTGTTTATCTGAAAAATAACACTAAAGTCAGTTATTCTCCGTGGAAAATCTGTGTAGGAATATCTAGGTGCGTCCCAAATCGCATACTTATGCACTATTCTGCGCCATTTTGTAGTATATATAATGTAAATAGTGCATTCACACTGAAATCTCTAAAAAATAATGTGCACTTTAAATACCCTGATGATGCACTTATTCAAACCGTATATGAAGTGTGGAATGTTGGACACTTCACACACTCAACGGCCGCTCCATTAGTGTTCTATTTGGGACCACAATACATTCATATACTATGCTGTTGAGTGTGTAAGTGCATAAGTAGGCTACATAGAGCATACTGTGCCATTTGGAACGCAGCTTCTGGCTTTGTTTTGCTCTGTCTAACTCCACCCACTGCCAGTTTAACCAATTATATTCAAGCACCCCGGGTTGCCTTTGTGTAAAATACTGCGTATTTCATTTCAGCCTTGAAGGCTGCCTTAAAAAAGCCTCCAAAATGAGACACAGATTAAGAGTTATAAAAATCCACAGGAGGTGGCTAGCAGATAATATCAATTTGACAAATGTAAACATTAACCAAGCTATTTACATTGTACGGCTCGATCAGATAAACTTGCTCCTGTTAATGTCGTGTCAACCTGCGTTTTACATTTACATACATTTACATTTAGTCATTTAGCAGACGCTTTTATCCAAAGCGACTTACAAATGAGGACAAGGAAGCAATTTACACAACCAAGAGCAACAATGAATAAGTACTAAAGGCAAGTTTCAGGTCTGTAAAGTCTAAGAAGGGAAGTGTTAGTAGTTTTTTTTTTTTTTTTTTTTTTTTTTTTTTTTTTTTTTTGTACAATTAGTGTGATATTCAAAGAGGCAATTGCAGCTTAGGAAGTGAAGTGGAGACTAAATAGTTGAGTTTTTAGTCGTTTCTTGAAAATAGCGAGTGACTCTGCTGTTCTGATGCAGTTAGGGAGTTCATTCCACCAACTGGGCAGATTGAGCGTGAGCGTTCGCGAAAGTGATTTTTTCCCTCTTTGGGATGGAACCACGAGGCGACGTTCATTCACAGAACGCAAATATGGAGTCATCAGAGTAGGAGGGGCTTGGTGAAAAAACACTTTTAAAGAGCCCCTATTTTGCATTATAAAAGATCATATTTTGGTTTTGATGTCTCCAACAACAGGCTGATATACATGCAAGGTAAAAAAAACACTTTTATTGTCTCTTAATATGCATTTTATTTTACCTAATTGTCCCAGCGACTCCCATATGATTCATTCAGTGATTCATTTGTTCCCAAACCTATCCTTAGCACAATGCTAATCTGCGCTGATTGGTTCGATGAACTAGTCTGTTTCTGATTGGTTAACTGCATTCAGTGTGAGAGAGAAATGCCCACCACAGCTTATCAATAATTTTGAAGTAGTCAGAGTGCAGAGTGTATGTGTGAGCCCAATGCAGGCGTGCATTAAGGCAATGCAGTTATACACCAGCATATTGCTCTATTCTTAACCATTAGTATAAACAGCGACTCACATTCAGCATTAATCCACTCTGTAGCAAAAGTTGAACTATTTTGAAACTTGACCGCCGTACATGTAGGAACAGCTGACGGTGGCCATAGCAATATCAAACAGCAATGGATCACGAGCTCACAAACGGATTTAAATCCGTAAACAAAGCAGCACGCCTCACGTTTTCAACGTATCTTTAGATGCAATATGAAAAGTTAACTAGATACAGTAAAAGCCGCGTGGAGAGGTTACAAGTAACAAAACATAATTAAAAACATAATTTGAGAGCTAGAGAAAACAAAGAGGTGACCATTTTAATCGCAATTAAGTTACTTACACTTGTAAAATGGAGGAAGAAACTGATCCATGAACTGTGTACTGTACTGACAAAGTCTTATACATCAATAGTCTTTTTTAATCCTTTCTTCAACGGCCGATGAATCCCTCATTGTAAGCGTGTTGATTGCTGAAGCACTTGTCAGAAAAATGACAGGAACACAGCACAAGGCTGGGGCTATAATGCTGAGGTATTTTTGCAAAAATAAACTTGAACCACTGACTCTTCACAGCCTCAACTTTAGGTGGGGAAAATAACTCTTAACTTTCTCTCACACTTCAGAGCACAGTGTCTTCGTGACATGATTCAACTGGGATCTGCTACAGTGTTTGTCTTCTTTTTCTTTTTGCAGTGTTTGTGGCCGGAGGTTTAAATTTTCCTGGGTCTGCACGCGCAACAAATGGGTAGGACTTGAGTTCCGTATCAACGTCACGCAAGATTCGTTACGCCGACAATTAATTTGTACTACTATGAGTAGTTCACTTCAATTAGAGCTGTGTTACACACTGCATGAAAAGTCATATTCAAAAACCAATAATAGGGGCTCTTTAAATTTGAGCTGCAATACTTAGTTCAACCACTTTCTAGTTCAATCCTACATACTGCACCTTTAACTGCATGCTCTTTTTTCATGTATTTGTTCAAACCCCTGAGCCAAATGATTGTAAACTACCCTGTTTGATTTGTAACTAATCATACAGTGGTTTTCGAATGCATAAAATGAGTCTTAAGAATTGTAGTGTTAAAGGAAAGGATATTGTCAGGAAATGTGTGTTTTGCCCTGACTTTGCACCCACTTCCTTTTGGCCTCAATGAAAAGGCCTGGTTTCCCTTCTTCTTTTTTTTCACTTATAAGCTTAAAATTTGGGCAGTGATATTGTAAATCTGTTATTTATATTAATATGCTCTTATTTATATTGATATACAATGTCACAATATTTTTAATAGCAAATAGTGGTCAAAATTTGTTGTCAATTGTTTCATGTGATTTGAAAAAAAGAGGAAAAATAAAAAAAAGAGTACTTGAGATCATCATATTGTTGATTTAATTCATTGTTTTATTTATAAAAGTCCTGCATAGTGATATTATTGCAAAAACGATGCTTGTATTGCACACTACCATACAAAAGTAGAGAATCAGTAAGATTTTTGGTCACTTTTACTCATAGAGGCTGCATTTATTAAAACTAAAATGATTTGTGTGGGAGGAGGATTCTTGTTTTAATTTAATTTAAAATGTAATTGTTAATTATTAATTCAATTATTATTCCTGTTATATAAACAACATTTTTTTCAGCAGCCATTTCTCCAGTCTTCGGGAGCCACGTGATCCTTCTGAAATGATTTGAATATGGTGATTTAATTACTATTTGTAACACTTTTTTATTTTATTCAAAACCAGCATTTATTTTAAATAAAAATATACGTCTTTTGATCAGTTAAATGTGTCCTTACTGAATAAAAATACAGATTTTCTAAATCTTACAGAACAATAGTAAATAATTCAAAGACATTGCTATCAAGAGCAAAAATAATAATTTATAGCAAAACACATTCACTATATTTTCAAAACCGTTCTATTACAGTACAAATGCACATGTCTGTTGTATACAGTGTATTATTATTATTCAAAATGATTATAATTCATAAAGGAAGAAAAATCTTTAGTTCTGCTAGTGCAATAAATCAGACAGGTCCACTTGATGGACTCTGGCGTAAGCCATTAGGAGTATTGAGAAAAAAATAAGTTGAAAAAATATATGAATTTTGACAATGCATGCATGTTATAAAAATAATGCTGTGATCTGTTTTAAATTGCTATAGTGCTTTGACTGGGAAAGAAGAAGCAACCACACCCCCCAGTGGTTAAAACACTTTCATAGACTTGAAAAAATAATACTTGCACAAATGCAAACATTTATATAATTGTTGAGCTTCAACAAACAGCACTGTTGAATCACATTCAAGTGATGATGAGCATTAAATGCTCACAGAATTAAGCATGTAATGTGCATCGGTTCTGAACCTGGGGCTTGAAAAAGACATGCAATTATTAAAAATGAGACAAAATCAAAATAAGCAAAAGCTTATATATATATATATATATATATATATATATATATATATATATATATATATATATATATACACACATATATATCATATTTTAATTCAAACTCTATTTTATTTTTTGAAGTGTCAACAAAGAAGTGTGTTTTTTAATGTCCACCATCTTGGATTTACACTATGAGGTTGCTTTATTAGGTACACTTTTTAGATTTTCTGAATTGTGTAAAGTGATCAAATCTCAACTCTTGTAGATGTATTAATTTTATAAATGTATAAAAATAAAATGATTGCAAGCTCTTTAGTTCCTGATGTTTTATTAGGTAGATTCTGAGTAAAAGTTTTTAGTATAAACTCAATTATTTAAAATAAGGTTGATTGATTGTGCCTGTGTAGATCCATCTTCATTTATTCAACTTATTTGTAATTCAGTTCTTTTTAAGAATGGAATTTGTGCAGAAAAAGACCATTACCCAAGATGCTCTTCAAAAATCCACCAATCGGAGAGTCATATCGAGCAACGGATTTTCAGAGCTCTTTAGCACACTCATTAAGCACTGTTAGGCCCAATCCCAATTCTACTTCTACTTATCTTTAGGAAATCACTGAAGGCAATGATATCATGTTGTCATAACTATATAATGTTGTGGGACTGATATACAGGTGTTATTATTATGGATTGTAGATAATAATAAAAAGATTGTAGCTTCTTTTTAGCTTAGCTTATTTTAGCTTTTCTTTTTTATATATAAAGTAGTAATAATGACAAAAAATACTAGTTTGTGGATCTCCTTACCTCCGTGTGCAGCGATCCTGTCGTTGCGGCGGGTGTATTCTGTCAAATTTTCTTACCCCTTGGTTTTAAGTGTGGTCCTGATAAATCTTCATTTTGAGGGCTATCTAGCTCTTCCCCTTAGTGCTGCGCCTTCCAGCTAAAGAGAATTGGGACTCTCCTACCGCTTCACATGAACGAGCAAAACAAGGGTTAGGGGTAAGGAGAAGGGCTAAGGGGTGAAATTGGGATTGGGCCTAAATCAAATGTCATTTTTATAACACAAGTGGACCATTCAGCATAGAATTCACGCTATTTAAATATTCAAAAGTATACCTGGATAAAAAAAAAGATGTCTAGCTTACATACACGCCACTCTAGTGGTAAAGAGGAGTCTTTCTCATAGCAGAGGAATAGCAGTGTTTGCCGAAGAAGAAATGAGCCCTGGCATGTTTTCTGCGCTGGTGAAAGCCGTTGTGTAGAAGCTGCTGAGATAAAGCTCAGAAATGCTTCCTTGCACCCCATCTTCAGTCTCCGCGCAGACCCCCGCACTGTCTCGTGCTGGAGGTGGGCTGAGCTGGGCTAGAGAAGAGGCCGAGTCCATAACAATCAATGAATCTGGAGCGAGGCTGTCGTTCCTGAGCTCCTCCCAAAGACTGCCTTTAAAAACAGAGAGCATGAAACACATCACTCCATTCACTCATTCATTTTCCTTTAGCTTAGCCCCTTTACTCCACAGTGTAATGAACTGCCAACTTATCCAGCATATGTTGTACACAGCAGATACCCTTCTAGCTGCAACCCAGTACTGGGAAACATTAAAACTCACTCTTTCACACACACACACACACTACGGCAAATTTAGTTTTCTCAGCACCTGTAATTTGAAGCACCTGAAGCACCCAGGTTTCCTTCCGGGAAGAACATGCAAACTCCACACAGAAATGCCAACTGACCTAGCCGGGACTCAAACCAGAGACCTTCTTGCTGTGAGGCGAGAGCGCCGTCACTGAGCCTCCGTGTCACCCACATCAGTCCAAAATCACAATATTTTACAAGTGTGAACAGGGGAAATACATGTTCAAGCTACAGTGGGTTTTCAGAAGTTCAAATAAAACGACATTTCTGAAAATCTGTTTCAGCACTGAGCAAATGTTAACCTAATGTTGAATGTTAATGAAAGCATGAAAACGTGAACATGTCAGACGCCATTTTGAGAAAGTCAGCGCAGTGTAGTAGCCTACAGATTGAGGGGAAATAGGGTATATGCGGAGCTAGTGTTTTTTTCCATACTGATGAACTTCCGGTGAATGGTTAATGTGACTTTTTTAGAGCATTGATGTTGAAAACAGACCTTAAACGTGCCGATTTTGTAATGGCATACAGTTCACCGAAGAACTTAACCCAGGTTACTGACAAATTAAAAGTCCTACCGCATATACCCTATTAATCCCTGCTCTGTTCTCGTTTTTTGAATGTTTTAGACCAGGCGTGTCCAAACTACGGCCCGCGGGCCATCTGCGGCACGCAATCAGTTTTGTGGCGGCCCGCGAGGCTTTTTATAAATATCAATAGAATCTGGCCCGCTATACAAAAATGAACGTAATTCAATAAATAACCACCGGGTGTCGCTATTACATGCATTCAATTAAGCAGCAGTTCTTGTTATGATCTATCTATCTATCTATCTATCTATCTATCTATCTATCTATCTATCTATCTATCTATCTATCTATCTATCTATCTATCTATCTATACACAGTTGAAGCCTGAATTATTAGCCCCTCGTTTAACAGAGCAAGGACATTTTTACCGTATGTCTGATAATATTTTTTCTTTTGGAGAAAGACTTTTGTTTTATTTCGGCTTGAATAAAAAGCGGTTTAAATTTTTTTATGAACCATTTTAAGGTCAAAATTATTAGCCCTTTTAGTCTTCAGAACAAACCATTGTTATAAAATAACTTGCCTAAATACCTTAACTTAACTAGTTAACTTGATTAACCTAGTTAAGCCTTTAAATGTCACTTTAAGCTGTATTGAAGTGTCTTAAAAATATCTAGTCAAATATTATTTACTGTCATCATGGCAAAGATAAAATAAATCAGTTATTAGAAATAAGTTACTAAAACTAATATGTTTAGAAATGTGTGGAAAAAAATCTTCTCTCCGTTAAACAGAAATTGGGGAAAAAATAAAAGGGGGCTAATAATTTACGGGGGCTAACAATTCTGACTTCAACTGTATTTATTTATATATATATATATATGCATATATATACATACACGTGTCTGTGTGATGTATGTAAAATTTGGCCCGCGACAACGTTTGTTTTTTTGCATCTGGCCCTCGGCCCAAAAAGTTTGGACACCCCTGTTTTAGACAGTTGAAGATAGCAGCACAGAGTAAAGCTACTCATGCCTGACACCTATTGTAGGTTTCTGCCACTGCACCATAATACAGCAGTCCAATAGAAGATTCTTTCTGCTATAAAACAATGAATAATAAAGTTAACTAAGAAAATAATACATTCTGACTTTGTTTTGGAGTTTCCATCTTACAATTCTGTTAGTAAATTACAATCTTGACAACTTACAATTTAGAGACACCATTCAAGACATCTATAAACTCAGAAATAGGACAAACCATTACTTCATTTGTTCATTCATTTTCCTTCGGCTCAGTCCCTTTTTCAATCCAAGTTCACCACAGCGGAATGAACCACCAACTTATCCAGCATATGTTTTACACAGTGGATGCCCTTCCAACTGCAACCCATAACTGAGAAACACCCATACACTCATTCAAACACATGCACTACAGACATTTAAGCTTACTCAATTCCCCTATAGCGCATGTCTTTTGGAGAAAACTCATGCCAACATGAGGAGAACATACAAACTCCACACAGAAATGCCAACTGACCCAGCCGAGGCTCGAACCACTGACCTTCTTGTTGTGAGGCTACTACAGCACTACCCACTATGACAAAGTAATAACTGAAAAAATTGTAAGATGTAAAATCAATTTCTAAAAAGTCAAAATGACCTTTTTGATTTTTTTTTACATAAAAGAATTAACTTATGACTTATGTTTGGACAGGTTTTGCAGATTTCTTTGCTATTTCTTTGAAGAATATTTTTTTAAGACAGCAAGAAAGATTAAATAACTTATTATTTCATAATATTACAGAAATTAACATAATTTTTCAGAAATCAAGTTTTTTTTCACAGCAATTGTACTCTTTAGTATACACACACACACACACACATATGTGTGTGTGTGTGTGTGTGTGTGTGTGTGTGTGTGTGTGTGTGTGTGTGTGTGTGTGTGTGTTTACTAAAGAGTACAATTGCAGTGAAAAAAAAACTTGATTTCTGAAAAATTCTAAAAACTGTGATCATATGTTTTTGCAATTGAACTATAACTTTTTTTTTAAAAATAATATTAACAACTAGTCAGTTTAATGTAATTAAATATGAGTATATGAGTGTGTAGGTGTTTCCCAGTACTGAGTTGTGGCTGGAAGAGCAGCATAAAACATATGTTGGAATAGTTGATGGTTCATTCTGCTGTGGCGACACCTGATGAGTAAGGGACTAAGCTGAAGAAAAATGAATGAATTATGTAATTTAAGTTAAAATAACACAAAAGATTATTTCGATTTAACTTAAAAATTTAGGTCAACCATGAATTTTTTGCAGTGCATCAGACTGTAAATTACGCATAATAGTAACAAATATTTAGATTTGATTTATTATTCTAGATATCATGACTAATGTCTGGGCCCGAACAGAATCTACAGGCATTTTTCATGCTATTTCTGCACAGAATTTTGTAAAAAAAAAAAAAATACAAATAAATAAATAAATGAAAAAAATAAATCTGTAGATCTATGCGGAATGATTTTGGGAGAATAGTAAACAAAAACTTAAAACATGGAACAAAAAATAAATAACTTTTACAATTAAGGTTTTTAATGCAAATCCAATTAGATTCACTTGTTTGGTAAATGGAGTTTGCATGTTTTCCCCGTGTTCATGTGAGGTTTCCTCTGGGTGCTCCGACTTCCCGCACAGTCCAAAGACATGCGCCATAGATGAATCGAAGAAATGAAATTAACTGTAGTGTATGAGTGTGTGTGAATAAGTGTGTATGGATGTTTCCCAGTGCTGGGATGTGGCTGGAAGGGCATCCACTGTGTAAAACATGTGCTTAACAAGTTGGCGGTTCATTCCGCTGTGGCGACCCCTGATTAATAAAGGAACTAACCAAAGGAAAATGAATTAATATTTGGTAAACGTAGCAAGTCTCTCATATAATATATCAACCACATAACAGAAAATATTACTTTACAAACTGTATTGTGAATAAATCATATAAACATTTTTATATTTTTCAGTAATACATCTGAAATTAATATAATAACTATATGATAATATAATTAAATAATAATGTCTTACCATGTAGTTGCAGATCTGTAAGGCTGGGATTTAAAGCATCAACATCATTGTTGATTTCTCCATCCAGCAGAAGCTCCTGCATGCTCGCTGTCCCGCTGTGACCAGCCTGCAGGGCGGTGCTGTAGCTTGGTGGAGTGTGTGCTGGTAGAGGTGAATCCAAACTGCCTGTCCTGGGACTGGAGGGATGGCCGACGCTGGGCTGATGAGTGGCTGGAGAGTAGTATTGGAAGGCTAAAGGGTCTGGAGAAATGTAAGGAGGAGGCAGGACAGCATTTTGAGATGTTAAAGGGTTGTAGAGAGCCTTCTGATTCAGGATCCTATTCTCGTGGACAGGCTGGTGTCCGTAGGCAGGATGCATGTTAACTCTGAAGGGCTGGGAATGTGTGTGGCTGCTGGGCAGACTGAAGTGACTCTTCAATTTTTCAGGTCTCTCACCAAGAAGACGTTCCAGCTCCTCTAAAACAATCAGCATAATGGAGAGTATGAACAAATAAATATATTACTTTTGATTGTATTTTTTTTTAAGGCAACGCAGTGGCGCAGCAGGTAGTGCTGTCGCCTCAAAGCAAGAAGGTCGCTGGTTCGAACCTTGGCTCAGTTGGTGTTTCTGTGTGGAGTGTACATGTTCTCCTTGCGTTCGCCTGGGTTTTCTCCGAGTGCTCTGTTTTCCCCCACAGTCCAAAGACACGTGGTACAGGTGAATTGGGTGGGCTAAACTGTCCGTAGTGTATGAGTGTGTGTGTGTGAATGTGTGTGTGGATGTTTCCCAGAAATGGGTTGCGGCTGGAAGGGCATCCGCTGCGTAAAAACGTGCTGGATAAGTTGGCGGTTCATTCTGCTGTGGCGAACCCGGATCCCGGAATAATAAAGGGACTAAGCCGACAAGAAAATAAATGAATGAATGTATTTTTTAATGCAGCGTTGTTGAGCATGAACCATCTTGGTAGTATTTATTTTATTTTATTGAACCCATGAATGAATCATTATTTGAAATGGATTTATTACCTAGATTGACTGATAGTCATATAAAATGTTGATTTATTTAGATTTATGATCAGGATTTTATTTACCATGTTTTACGATTTATTTTCCATTTATTTACCATGATTTATTTACCTTAAGAAGGATAGTTGTGCAGTATAAATTTAAAATAAGTTCAATTTAACCGGGATGAGTTCTTCCTTTTTCTCACACTTGTTGAATAAAAAATGTTTTTTATTTTAAGAAATTACAGAAAATTCGGTACTCTCTTCACCGACCTAGCACTAGTTTCATTAAATTAAATTAGCTTGACCCTGCTCCTTCTGATTGAGTCCCCATCCCCCAACTCCCAGCTTGGTACTGGATACTAGTTCTGGTCAGCACATTGTAGACTTGTTTTTTCAGTATGTAAGATAGCACTAGTGTTTTTATTTATTTGTTTGTTTGTTTTTTATTAGTTTTTTATTTTTATATTTATTTATTTTTTGCTCAAAGTACTCTTCAGTGTATTTGCTTTTTGTTACATTTTCATGTTGTCCTTTTTATACTTTTGTAAGGTATTTTTTTTTTATTTTACAATGTATAAATAAAACATAAAAATAAGTACTTTAAATTACACCATTAAGTCAACGCAATAGCCTATTGGTTTGCGCGCAGGCATATGGTGCAGTAGCACGTCAGGGCATCTGAATCGAGAGTTCGAATCATTCCAAAAAGGCTTGAATATTCTATACGACAAATACATCAAATAAACATACTTATTTTTATATATTTTTGACTCGCAACCTTATTTCAGCTTCATCTGTATCTGTCTCTATCACTGATGGCTGTTTATCTGACATAATGCATGAGAAGCAGACATGCACATTGCAATGATGGGCGGGGAAAAGCAACTCATTTGCATTTAAAGAAAAAAAATGGCAGATTCTGATGACTAAAAAAAATAATCTGATGGGTATTTTGATTTCTAGTAACCTAACAGTGCATCCAATGTCCTATCCTGTGCAATCCTAATTTTATGTTTCGCTACAGTACTTATATTTATTTAAATCCCTGAATCCGAATCCAAGGTTGATATGTGATCTACTACAAGTTCTCTGGCCTAGCACTAAAAAACTGGTCTGTTTATGTGCTCAAAGTGTTAATGAACACAGTCCTAAAATGACAGAATATATGTTGAAACAGCAGTGCACCTGGTCGGGCCATGCTCCTCCGTACAGTCAGAGGATCTTTGCGTCTCCACTTATGAAGCTCCTCCTGCATCTTCTCCACCTTCGCTGGGTTCAGGGCCCACAGGCAGCCCTTCCGAGAGGAGTTGCCATTCTTGTTCTCCACCTTCTCAAAGCATTTGTTCAGAGAGAGGTTGTGTCGGACCGAATTCTTCCAGCCGTCAGGTGCTGTCTAAGTAAATTAAAAATGAAGTATGAGGCTCATTCACAGTCATACAATGGACAGTGCGTGCAAGGGTACTACACAAGCCAACACTCAAAAAAAATGTTTTTTTGCTTCTTGTTCTTGTTGAACTACTTGTTTAAAATGAGCTGAATCAACACAGTTCTTGAGTTTTTTTGGGGGGAAACTTAATTGTTTTATGTTCAGTTAATAAAAAACAATTCGAACTTAAATAATTTGTGTTAGGACAACATGAAGTAATTGTGTGGAAAGTATCATTTTTTTACAGTAAATTCAACGTCACGGCCATGAGATCCTTGTGTAAATTCCAGTGTGCAGATTGGCTGTCTGTATTGGCCAATACAAAGTGACGTCATTGACTTTTCAGCACATCTGTTCATTAATTCATGAGAAAGACTTGGATTGAACCAATCAGCGCACTTTATTGTGAATGAGATGCAACTTCATTAATAAACATGTTATAGCTTTGTAGACTCTTTTTTTTTTTACTTGTTACAGTGATCAAAGAAATACCACGTTGTGTCGCCAATCGTAATTAAAACAAGTGGAAGAGGAAGTATTGTTCGGAGACATGGGTCGTCAGTGTTGCATTTATAAATGTGCCGCAAGGAAGGTTTTGTTTCCATTTGTCACTGTCAATGGGTTTTCATTTACCAGGGAATGAGAGCACAGCTCGTGTGTGGATCCAAGCAGCTGGATTACAGTGGTCTGCTAACATGCGATAAAAATACGTTTGTAAGGAATATTTTCAAATCTGAAAATGGTGAAATCCGAATTTGCTGCGTATTTTCTTTTAAAAAAAGACGCAGTTCCAGTTAGTGTTGATTGTGCTGTCTTCACAAATTGGTAACTGTGTGATCAGTGTTCTTTGTTAATGTTTATTCAGATTTCTAAGTTAGTATCGTCAGCAGTACTATTTTAGTTTTTAAAGACATACCTTAGTCAAAATGATTTACTTACTAAGTTTACAGTAATATCCCTACAATATTATGGAACGAAAATCCTCCACTTCCACACAGCGCTCAGATCCGCTGTAAATGCTAGTCTTCGAATCCCTGTCTATCTCCGCTGTGTCTGCATTTGTGTTGCCGCTGTGAAAATCAGCGCATGCACATACTGAAATTCCCGTTTTCATGCAAACCCTTCCCTCTTTTGCCATTCGACACTCCCACTTAAATAATGCTGGACTCACCCACTTTCCTGACTTTTTTCAAACTAGATGTGTGAAAACACCCTGCTGAGACAGGGGGGCACGGTTCAAGGCCCGTCAAAGTCCATGTGAACTGGAAGTTGCTGAGACATTTATGTCAGTATTTTAATGTACTTCCAACTGAAACGGAATATTGATTTGGGGGTGGGGTTTTCTTTTTGCACATACTGTAATTTGAATGCTATGCTCAGCATTAGAATAAGGCTGAAGTCGTTAATACAGTCGTTAACTGACATTAACAGAAAATACCACTCCAAACATGGAAGCAAATGGTCAGACTTTGATTTAAGATTACCAAAACAAACATTTTTTTTAGTGGATTAACTTGCATGGATGATTTATTCACCTAAACAAATTGTGCGCTAGCAAAATAAATTCACGCAGACTTTAAAAAATTTTTCACAAGCATATTCCAATTCCTAACTGCATAAATCTTAATAATTACAATTAATTTAGCACAGAATTCAAAAAGGACTCCTTTTACATGTAAAACAGCCCAAACATGAGATTTTTACTGAAAGGTTGCAAAATATTAAATGTCTATAAGAATGATGCAATAAACCTCATTGGGCATCATATGTTCACTGGTTCAGCAGGATGATGGAAAAACAGGGTGAGAAGAAAAGACAACCTCCAGTGACAGAATTTTTCCAGAATTACTAACGCTATTGGAGTCATTAGAAGTATAAGGTAACAGATTCTAAAACTTATTTTAAGGTTAACGATTGCCTGATCGTGATCCCTGCTTAATAAGAATCTAAAATGCCATAAAATAGAGTTTTAAACTTTCACATTGGAGACAGATATGTCAGCATTTACTTATTTGAAGAATTTATTTCCTATAATCTGAGAATTTGATAATAAATTTTGAGCCTTTTAAATCTCCAATTCTAAAAAAAGTCAGCTTATTGTTAGTATCTGCTCACTATTGGGTTTTTAAATATTTTTAATGCAAATTCTGAGCTATCTTTTACTTTAACAGAGTAAAATAAACAACTCTGTAAAAAATAATGTTGTCCCAACACAAATAGATTAAGCTATTTGAGTTTTTTGGGGCAACTCAATTGTTTTATGTTAAATCCTCCTGCAGCAAATTTGCAAATACACAAAAAACTTAAGAATTGTGTTAATTCAGCTATTTTTAATAAGTTGTTTGAACAAGCAGCAAAAATATATATTTTAAATATTTTTAGTAAGCAAGAAAAAGTTTTCATTTTCCATTTAGCTGTCCAATAATTGTGCACACAAATATTACGTTAAGTCATAATTTGACTTTCAATAATTTATTATCATTTTCTTAAATACCTAGGTTTGAGGTTTATTAACATTTTAGACTGACCAAGAGAACTGTTGTTGTTCAATAATAAAACGAATGCCCAAAAATACAATGTGGCATATACAGTATGATTGTTTTGGAGTGTTCACAGAAAAAAAGCAGTAACTTAAACCGAGATTGCAACAGCTCTTTAAACAAATATATTTCTTACAGCCCATCTGTCAGTTATCTGAGGATTCATACACCCCTTATGTTCGCATATTTACCAATTGAAAAGCCAAAATAATCTTTCACCAAAACAGCCCCAAGACAAGGGCATATAAAGATCATGCCATTACAGGCACATTCCATAATGCCTAAGGGACTCCTGCTCTGTTAAAGAACTCTGTTTGCATTGTTATCTTAAGCATACACAGGCCTTTGCCAGGATCCTCCTCAAAGTTATTAACTGTTCTCCTTACATAAGTGTGCATTAGATAAATCTTTTCTGAGAACTGGTATTCAACTTACCTTAAAGTATGGGAAATGCTCTGTCATGAAGCTGTAGATTTCACTCACTGGAAGGCTCCCTGTTTTGCTGTTCCTCAAAGCCAGGAAGATAAGGATACTGCAAAAGTATTTCAATTCACATTTTATGCATGCTGCAGGTTCTTATATGCAAAGGTAGGGGAGCACATGGCACAAAGTAATGCAGGGTAAAATGTAACAAGGAGTTTTAAGGTGTTTGCTCAGGGTTAACCATGGCATGCTTCCAAAGTTATCCCCACAGTGTCAGCAGAGGTCTTCCTGCCCATTATTGAAAAAGTTTGGCAAAATTTGCATGAGAAACACAGGAGAAACTATTTTTCAAGCATAAAAGTATTTCCTATTACTGTCAATATTTTTCTATTTAAAAAAATCTGTGAAAGTATGAACGCAAAATCTTATATTGTTGTGACTACTGTCTTCTAGGCTAAGGGATGGAACCATTTTGAAAGATGTAAAAAAGAGACTGCTAGCCCACTTTGAGGAAAACACGGCACAGCAGGGTTAGTCATAACAGTGTGTTGTTACAAATAAGCCACACACTGTTGAACACCAGTTAAATAAATTAAAAATATATATTTTTAATAGAAGAAATTACATTTTATTGCTATAATGCAAATAAATTCATTGCCCTTTCAGCTGCAACCCATCACTGGGAAAAACTCACCCACTCACACACATTCAGCCTACCCAATTGACCTATACTACATGTTTTTGGACTTGTGGGAGAAACTGTAGCACCCAGAAGAAGCCCACGTGAACACGGGGAGAACATGCAAACTCCACACAGAAAAGCTAACTGACACAGCCGGGCTCAAACCAGCAACCTTCTTGCTGTGAGGCGATTGTGCTACCCACTGCACCACCGTGCTGCCCCAGATAATAATGCAAATAAATCCAAATGTGTTCATCCACCAGATAAATAAATAAACATGCTGTGCTACAGTATGTACAACTGAGAAAAAAATAAGTACTGAGGAAATTTACTATTTAAAGTGAACTGAAATTAAATGAATTGTGTGAAATCTGACTTTTTAAGCATGTGTTACAACTAACTCTCTGTCTGTTACAACTTGCACTGCAGGTGGGGTGCATAGTAACAATTTACCAGTATTTAACAGTAATCGGTGCTCATTTGTGCAATGCAAAAAAATCCTGGTGGCCTTAAATTGTGAAGTTGAGTCGAATAAACCTTATAAGTCTGTTAAACTTATATTATGTTAAACTGACTTAAAACAGCTTGCAGGACTTATACAATTAAGTTAGAACATGATTAACTTAGTTTAATGAGTTACAATGACCTAAAAACATATGCTGGCAGGACTAATTGATCATATAATATTTTACAGTGTAGGAGAGGCTTGTGTATTGTAGGTAAAAAAAATGGTTCGTCTAACCGTATTACTTTGTTGGATATTTGGCCAAAACCAAATAGTGTTACTTTGTGCCCCGCTCTTCCCTACGTCAGCTTTTATTATAGGTTGTTTTCAATCACGTAATTCTGATTTTGTGTCAAAATTTAGTTGGAGGGCAGGAAGTATAAAAAAAAACTGAATGGAAAACATTGAGGAAAATCCGTATTTTTACAATTTATAGCATATTTCAAAAGTGATATAAATAGAAAGTAACCACATATGTTGGACATGATCCTTATATTATGAAGAGAAATGAGTTTTCTAATGAACTAAAACATATTTGCCTGCCATTGAGGTGATAAATACTGTAAGCTACTTACATAAAACATACTAACATCACAGTAAATATACAGATTTTGAACCATACTATAGTTAATTACTTGAATTAAACTGCTGCAGTAATTAAATGGTTTCTGTGGTACAAAACAACTATCATGATAACAAATTATCCAACTTGATATTGTACAATTTTCTACTTTATAATTATGCACCACAGTTTGCAGTACAGAGTTTTTATTACAGTTTATCAGTTTACTTTACTACAGTATGCTGTAGTATTCATTAGCAAAGAGTTGTACTACATTATACGCTTAGTTACTATACACATATTACTATAGTTTGTTTCAAAAACATATAGCACACTATTTACTATGGATTACTATAGTTTTTTATTCATGCAGATTACGTCTCCCAGACGTCCTTGCTTACAAATGCATACAAAGCATGCATAAGCGGTTCTTAAACTGTGGTATGTGTACCACTAGTGGTACCAGGCTTTCTTTAAATAACACCGATATGATCAGTGAAACCAAGGAACGTTTCCAGGTTTTGATGAATAGGTGATAATGACTAATGATATAATAATTTACATTTAAGTACAGCAGTCTTTTTACTTTTTCAGAACAGTGTCATTCAAACTATTTATAATGTTTAAAGTTTCGAACAATAATAAATATTTTTAATAAGAAGAATTATTCTGCCACGTTTTGAACTGTGCAATGCTGTAGCTGCCTAATTAGGCCCACTATGCTACTTCAATACTGGTTATCATTGTGCTTATCATTTTACTTGGGTACTCAGTGAAAAAAGTTTGAGAACCTACATTATCATAATTATTATTTATGACTCCACAGTACTACACAATAACAATTGTCTAGTTTTGTTCACAACGGTAGCATTTACTTTTAGTTCAATCGACAAAAGGCCCATTCATACCAGGAAAGTGGCTAATAATTTTAACCTTAAAATAGATTTTTTTAAAGTTACAAATTGCTTTTATTCCAGCCAAAATAAAACAAGACTTTCTCCAGAAAAAAAAATATTATTAGACATGCTGTGAAAATTTCCTTGCTCTGTTAAACATCATTTTGGAAATATTTAAAAAAAGAAAAAAGATTTAAAGGGGGCTAATAATTCTAAATTCAACTGTATATACTGCTGTCAAATACTATATCTCAAGCCTTGAGACTATTTAAAACAAATTTGAGATAATTCTTCAGAAAATAAATCAGTTAAGGTGCTATACATACCTGTAGGAGTAGACTGGTTTAGGGTACAGTGGTTGAGGAGAACTGTCTTGAGATGTTTGTGTTGAGAGACTTTGGTTATAATAGTGAGAAACCGTATCTATTCCTCTTGAAGGGTAATACTAGACACAGTATACACACACACACAGAAAAAAATATATATTAATAGCCAAAATAAATCATTTCAAAAAGTTACAGACATTACACAATACACGTTCAACAAGAGCTAGACTTCATTTAATACTTGCCAATGTTTTGACTATGAACATGCTATAAATCTGTTATCAGTTCTGTCTTCTTATATTTCTGCCTTCTATCTTTCGCCAGGATTAACCTAAAGTCATATTTGCTTCCTTCAGTAGTTGTGTTGTAGTGTTTTTATGCATACAGTTAAAATTGTGTGTGTGGGTGTGTGAACCTCGTGGGGACCAAATGCAATACAGTATTCATTAAAAATATATTTTTCCTGCTGCTTGTTCAGACTATATATTTAAAATGAGTTGAATCAACACAATTCTTAAAGGGCACCTATTTTACCCTTTTTTCAAAATGTAAAATAAATCTTTTGTGTCTCCAGAATGTGTCAGTAAAGTTTAATCTCAAAACACCCATCAGATTATTTATTATATTATTCAGAATATTGGGATTTACTGCTCTGAACACAACGTGGTTGTTATTGTTGCCTGTGCCTTTAATGCTGGTTATCCCCGCCCACCGTTCCCATGGGCCTGTCAGAGTGTCTCCGCCTTGGCTGCGTCAGATAAACAGCACAGTGACGTTTGTGTGAAATACTACAGTAAGACCTTTCCCAATGATTATTTGATGTATTTGTTGTGTAGTTGCAACAATGAGTAACACACAATGTCGTTACAAAGTTCACACACACACACATACACACACACACACACACACATTTGATGATGATTGATGATCACAGAGAGGTGAACAGATCTAATGAAGTATTCTAAAGATGTAACAATGCAGATTGTTTCCTGTGAGGGATGGGTTTAGATGTAGGGGTATAGAACGTACAGTATAAAAATCGTGTGTGTGTGTGTGTGTGTGTGTGTGTGTGTGTGTGTGTGTGTGTGTGTGTGTGCGCATGTGTAAATGACCAAAACTAAAACTTAAATTAATTTATATATCAGCCCTTGTCAGAAATTGTAATTCTTTGTTTATTAATGATCATGAAAATTCAGTTTTACAAACACGACAGATTAACTGTAACTTTGAAATATATTAAAAAAGAAATATATAATATAATTTATAATTTCACTATTTACTGTTTTGTGCGATTTTTGACCCAGTAAATGCAGCCTTGTTAAAGAAAGTTGAATGTTGAATGTTGAATAAGAGACATTCAAAAAACATTAAAGATATTCACTCAGATATTTAAACTGCATCTTGTATAATCAGTATATGACAAAAACTCTCCACTGTCATTGTGTACAATGTTTGTACCTGGTGTTGTAGAGGACTGATGGCACTGTATGCCTGATGGTTTACTGTTGTGTAGCCAGGAGGTTCTTCAGAGCTCTCCTGAGGCTCACTGTAAGGTCGCCGAGTTCCCTGCCCACAATATAGAGCAACATCTACTTAGTGCTAAAATTTCATATGTTCAAGCCTCTTTAGAAAGTGTAATAAGGACATCTGCTTGCACATCTGCCTGTCAGGTCTTCTTGTTTCCATGTCTTTTGCCTCTGGGCTAAATGTGCTGGCAAGAATTTAAAGAGCCTTCATGCCGTAAAAATTATTATAAATGATGGAGGTATATTATAAATGATTTATATATAATTCCATACATACAGTATGTCTCAAAGTTCAGACAAAAAAGTGGATGGAAATAGGGAATTGTGATCAGATGAATGGAGAATAAGTATGAAAATATAAGAAAGAATGAAAATGCACTATGAATGCATAATGAATTATCAGCCCCTCTGTTGTTTATTTTTCCCCGATTTCTATTTACCGGAGAGCAGTATATATTGCATAATTGTTTTAATAACTCATTTCTAATAACTGATTTATTTTATCTTTGCCATGATGACAGTACATTATATTTGACTAGATATTTTTAAGACACTTCTATACAGCTTAAAGTGACATTTAAAGGCTTAACTAGTTTAATTAGGATAACTAGGCAAGATAGGGTAATTAGGCTAGTTATTGTATAACGATGGTTTGTTCTGTAGACTATGGGGGGGAAATGGCCTAAAGGGGCTAATAATTTTGTCCTTAAAATGTTTTTTAAAAAATGAAAAACTGCTTTTATTCTAGCCGAAATAAAACAAATAAGACTTCCTCCAGAAGAAAAAACATTATCAGACATACTGTGAAAATGTAATTAAATTATTTAAATGTTTAAAAAAGATTTTAAAAATTCAAAAGGGGAGTAATAATTCCGACTTTATCTATATATATATATATATATATATATATATATATATATATATATATATATATATATAGTTGTACTCAAAAGTTTACATACCCCTTAAAGAATTTGTTGTTGTGAATAATTTGAACAAAATAAGAGTAATCATGTTAATTTTTATTTATTACTGTCCCGAATACGATATTTTACATAAAATATGTTTACACATGGTTCACTAAACAAAAATCTAGCTGAAATTATTAAAATAACCCCCTGAAATGTGTATGTGCTTTTGGTTTTCAATACTGTGTGCTTTCCTAATGATCCACCAGTGTTTTTTTGCTTTGTGATGTTTTTTTATGAGGCTTTTGTTTGTTCTGAACAGTTAAACTGACAGCTGTTCTTCAGAAAAATCCTCCATGTCCAGCAGATTCTTCTGATTTCAAGCATCTGCAGATTTGAACCCTTTCCAGCAGTGACTGTTAGAGTGTGAGATCCATCTTTTCACACAGAGGATGATAGAGGCATTTAAACACAACTGTTAAAAAATGTTTAAACCCTCACTGATGCTACAAAAGAGAACACAAGGCAATAAGAGCTGGGGTAAATGATCCAGGATGAAGATTCTTCATTTAGCACTGCTCTTTGGAAATAACAGAAAATACTTGGACTCATCTTGCAACACAAATTAAGTGCAACTTACCTTGATCTTCAGATTCTAAAAGGGGGTTATTTTAACCATTTCAGCTATAATATTGTGAAGTGAATAATTTGTAAACATATTTTATGCATCCTATACTCAGGACGGTATATATATATATATATATATATATATATATATAATCAAATCAAATGAATCAAAAATTCTGAATATACAAATATATAAGTGCTTTTCTTTTGAACTTTCTATTCCTCAATTTTTTTATTCCCCATATTATCCACATTTTACTATATATAAATAAAACTTATGATACTGTCCAAATTCATTTTTGTTAGGACTGTCCAAATCCATTTTTTAATCCATCTCCAGAAAACAAATAAACAAACTTTCCCCCATTCTCACCATTATACTTGTGGTCTCCACATCAGTGCCTAATGTAGTCCAAGAGGATTGTTCCTCCAACCCATCAGCACTGGCGATTTCCCTAGCCAGTCCAGCTCTTCTGACACAGCTGAAGGGCTGACCCTCACTGATGGCCCCTTCACTGCACTGACGCCGGTATGGATGGTAGTGACTGTTCTCCGTCAGGTCACAGTCTCGTCCAACAGGACTTCCATCTACACTGTGTCTACGAAAGCGCTCCGCACTCTTCTGGCTGTAGGGATCGCTTTTTCTCTGGGAGTACGGCACAAACCCTTCTCCACCATTGCTTTGGTGACACTATAGATTGAACAACAATAAAATGTCAAGTAGATTAAAAATCAATAACACATTCTTTTCAGTTCAGTGAAATTTATACAACCTAAATTTCACAGTATCAGTACAGGCAAAGCAGTTCAACCAATGCTGCATTTTCACCATTAATTAATGCACTCTTTAACATAAATCAGTTTTCCAAGTGGAAATGCAGTAGCACGTAAAGATCTTTGATCTACTAAAGAGTCCATAAAAGCATTTAATGTGACATACAGCCTCCCCTAGGGGCCATAATTAATTAATATTAAATCAGACGGATTTGATGAAAAGTCAGGAAGAAATACTTCTATTTCTGCTCCAGGGTCTGGTGTCCTTGAATAGTGCCTTGTGCTGGGGTTCACGTCCTCATCAAAATGTAATAATTATGACACTGTGTCGTAATAAGAGCAGCTGCCGGGCAGCACGTTTAAGAAGCGGCAACTACAGAAAAGTCTCTAGACTGATGTTAGAGAACCAAAGAACCTTATCTGAGAGTTAAATCAGAACTGAACATAAAGAAATCCATCGTTTTATTCATTCATCAATCCTCCCCACAATTAATCCACCCATCTATGTTTAAATGGATTTATTTATTCATTTATGCATTAGTCCTTCCATTTTTCCTTTCATTCATCCATCTATATATTCATCTATAGATCCATCTTTGATCTATTTGTTCATTCACCCATTCATCTTCTTCAACCATCAATCAATGTACTGCTCCTTCCATTGATCAATTTACCCATTCATACACTGTAAAAAGCAACTGTAAAATTTACAGTATTGCAATTTTTGTTAAAGTGCACTGAAATTATAAATTAATAATTTATTGTAAATTAATAATTACAATTGTGCTGTAGTTTCATAATCAAAATAGCCAGTAATACTGTAATTTTTACAGCATGGTTTTACAGCTGAGTCACAATGCATTTACCCTGACTAATCACTTTTTGCAGCTTTCATTCATTCATTCATTCATTCATTCATTCATTCACTTATCCATTTACCCATGCATCCACCATCCATCTATTCATCCATCCATCTATCCATATATACATTCATCCATTAAATCAATCATTCACTTTACTAATCCGTTGATTGCCTGACAGTGATAAAAAATACAAAATAAAAGGACATCTTAAAATGCAATACATGCTAAACTGATTCAAACAAATGATAACATCAAATTATTTCTTATTTATCGACTGCCTGATAGTGTTGTAATAAAAATATATAATCAAAAAGAATACTTTATATGCAATACCTGATTGAAAACATATTATAACATCAAATGATTATTACCTGTGATTCTGGCATCTGAAAGCAGGGCGACTCTAGGGAATCAAAGGACTGAAGTTGGCCTGCAGAAGGAGATGGTGAGCTGCTACTGCTACTTATGGATAGGAAAGACAGTCCCTGGGGCTCAGAGGACATCGTCCCTACAACCTGCCTCTTCAAAACAACACAACACTTTATGAGGTCTCATTTTTAGACAGACAAAAAAAGTAAAGTATAACTTACATAGAATAAACCCTGACAGGGTGATGAGATTTTTTAATACATGGTTCTCTGGAATACTAGAATCTGATTGGTCAATCACAGCATACTGTATGGTTCTCATGTTACACCTGCTGAAACTAATAATACAGGCTGCATTCAGACATTTTTTTTGTCTGTAAGCTTTACAATGAATTAATTTATAAAAATAAAAAAATGTAATATTAATATTAAAAAATAAATATTATCAATGTTGTGTGTCTAATTTTTTTTTATTGTGGCAAGATACCGTGTAATAAGCACACTGTAAAAAAATGCTTGTTGCCTTAAATTTAGGGGGATATTAATTTAGCCTTATGAGTAATTTAAACTCATATTATATTAAACTGACCTAAAACAGCTTGTATGATTAATGTGATTAATTTAAGTTACAATTAACTAAAACATGCTGTCATTCCCACATAGCAACATTTTTCTGCTCCAGCTCTGGCCCACAAAATCAGCTTTTGCTTGGCCCAGATGCTGCAGTGAATTATGCTACATTACTAGACCAAGTCTGGCTTCCAGACAAGGGCTAAACATTAGATCATATCTGGGCCAGGTCTCGGCCGAGTGAATTCTCGAAGCAACCTGATTTGCAGAATTTTTTTTCTTTATTCAAAAATGATTAAAATGCATTTTAAATGTGGGTCAAGATGGACCAAACTTACATAGCCCAGTTTTTTTAACATCCTGGCCAAAAACTACATTTGACACTTAGCCAATGCCTGCTGTGCCAGCTTTATGCCAAATCTGGGCCAGAATTCTTTGCTACATTGGTGATTGATCATATTATTTTTTTTATCCTCCTGAGACCCAAAGATATTTTTATTTTAATTTTTTTCTGTGATTTCCTACATCCTTTGAGTTAAAAAAAAAAATCTACAATTTAGAGTTTTTACATTTTTAATTTTTTTTATTTTACATCATGTCCACTCTAGTGGACCACAGGACCATTTTAGTTCGAAATGACCGCCAAACTCAGACAACAAAACTGTACAGGTTATGGCTGGAAAGGGATATTAATCCAATGTTAATGAAACAAAAACAAAACAAAAGCAATTTTTTCCTTTTGTATTGAAATTCCTGAAACAGTTTAGTGTAAATGAGAACTCAAAAAAACAAAAAAAACAAAAGTGATGTTAATCCAAAACAAATTTAACATAAAAGCGATTTAAAACTGACTTCCATTCTCTAATTGTCTCTAATTCTCTGATTGTCAGACTCTAATTCCAGAGTCTCAATCAAATATTTTATAAAGAATCCTCTCTGCTTCAGTTTTGCCCCCTACAACATGTAGTCATTAATTACATTAGGATGGTCCTGGTGTCCACTATAGTGGACATTTAAAAAAAGGATGATATTTTGAAACACAAACAAGCTAACAGGTTTGAAAGCTAAATGTATTGTTCCTGACACTTTAATAAACAAATATATATGTAATAATAATAGTAAAAAAAAAAAACATTTAAAAAGCTAAATTTTACATACCTCTTTCCTTCCTATAAAATGTTTTTTTTTTTTTTTATGTTAGCCATTTTGGATGCAATGTAAGAGCTGGTTCCTAGCATGCCAGCCAACTTGACAGAGTAGCTCAAACAATTCAAAGAAAATTCATGAAATTGCAATGTCCACTACTGAGGACACAAGTCAATAGGCTTTAACAGAATATAAATGGTTGCTTTAACAGAATATAAAGGCTTCAGTCATGGCTCAAAGGCTTTTTTGCCATAAGAATGGGTTGGATGTTATCCTGCTTATTACATAGCTACTTCCCACACAAGTAAATAGTTGCAAATAAAATATCAATTTATGTTGAAATACTTTATTAGCACAATAAACTGAAGCGCTCACAAAGAAAACACACACCCGGATTAGAAGCAGCAGGTTATTCTGAGATATTATTAGCCCCTTTCACACAGTAATACCAGCCTGATCTCTCAAAAAAATGTTACTATTTTTTACAATTTGTCAGTTTAGTGGCTACAAAACTGTACGATTTTTAAAAGTAGACCTACCACTAAACTCCAAATCGTACTAAATTGTACAAATGAGATAGTACATATTCATATGAAGTATAACCACTAAATCAAAAAAAGTTACAAATTATGGTGAGATTGGTTGGAAATACCAGCAAACTGGTGTAAAATTACCAGATTGACTTTAATGATAAATTCTGTGTTTTCTAAAACACATGATCTCTCATATGAAATTTCGCATCACTGTAATTTTATGCAAATGTTTCAAAGGAACCATTGACGATGGCTATTTCATCTGGGAATAATTTGACTAACCAATCAGAATTGAATACTACAGAGAGTCATGTAAAATGCAAATATGATCTTGTAAGCTATTACATAAGTACATGCGTGTAGAAACGCATCACTGTATACCTTCAAACAAGTTGACACTCTAGTGTCATATAGGAATGCTGTTATGCTTGTAAGCTTGACCCCTGTTAAATTGGGGTCAGACATAGGCCTGGTTTCATATACATGTTTCATGAAATGCTGCATAGGAGTATATTTCCATACATACATTCACTTTGAGCACATCTCGTCCAATGGCCTCAGCATGTTTTTCAAATTCATCTCATCAGGAGTGTATATATACACACAATGCATTGTAATAATGTTCAACCTCAATTTTTTTCCTTAAACATTATGTCATAATGGTATTTTTCATGTCTTTAAACAATTTGTCTTCCCAGCTGTTTAGCTTCTGGGCAAACCTAGTTTTGAAGCCTGTATCTGTTCAACCGTTGGTAAAGAAAATCCCTTTCTAACTATTTGCTAAGCATTTTACATAAGAGCGATAATACATTTTGTAGTGATAGAGGTCTGATCTGTTATTTATTATGCTATATCTCTCAAACAACAGAACAAGGAATTTTTTCACAGTTTTTGCTATTATATTTTTTCTTCTGGAGAAAGTCTTATCTGTTTTATTTCAGCTAGAATAAAAGCAGTTTTTAATTTTTTTAGAAACATTTTACAAATGTAATGTGATGGGACACTGACAAGGACGTACAGATTCAAATGCAGCATTTATTAGGAGAACAGGTGGATGGTCAAAAGACAGGCAGCAAACAGGAATCAACAATAAAACAAGGCAAGGGTCTAACAGAGCAGGGCAAGGCGTGTCGTAAAGTTCACAGAACAGATAAACAAGACTCAGCACTAATGCGTGTGTGTTGTATAAATAGTCCTTGTAATCAGTCCTTGACAATCCTCTGGCTGTGTGTGCGTGCAATCAGCAGCAATCAGTGTGAGCAATGCATAACTGGATCTGGAGTCCATATAATGCAATAGTATTTGGATGCAGTTTTTATGATGCAAGCTGAGACTGCATCACACAGCGATGCAATGTCAGACTCAATGCACTCAATGGAGTGAGTGACATCACTGTGACGGGTACGGTTAGGGGTGGGGTTAGGGGAGCGCATTAAAAAGCATTGGATGCAGCTCAGATTGCACTGCACCGAGTCTGCAGCCAGATCCATCTCATATAATGGCGGATTTGTAGTTTTATATCGATCTGCGTGTTTACCAGCAATCTACAAGGATTAGATTGCTGATGATTCTGACAACGATCAATATTATTAACCCTCTGAAGCCAATTTTGTTATACAATGATTTGCTTAATTACCCTAAAATGCGCAATTAACCTAATTAACCTAAGCCTTTAATTGTAACTTAAGCTGAATACTACTGTCTTGATCAAATTCAACTGTATATATCCTGGCCCTGCTATATGACCATAACCAAACATAAGGACACATAAGTATCCAGTATTCCTGGCAATTCAGGCTGCTTTCAGTTACCGTCAGCAGACTGTGCTATTTGAAACAAAAACTCATTAAAATCACCAACAAAGCATGAAGGAGAAGCAGAAGTGTGTTAGTGACATGAAACGGAGATGGGGGGAGTTTTGGTCCCTCTGAAACATAGAGTGTAATTCAGTATTGAACAGGAAGTTGATCTGGCCTTTATGGTCCATCACTGACTTTTAAACTGATCCTCTGGCCTGTTTTAGTCGACATACAAGACTTTTCCACTCCTAAGAGAAAACAGCTGAGTAGACAAAGGTGCTTGGGCAGATAAGGGAATTGGGCAAGCAATGAGGCATGATAATTACAATTTATTTTATTGCAAAGAATTTTTAAATATGTTTTATTACTTTTTTATATTACGTTTACTGTATTGTTATTTTATTTTTATTATTGTTTTCATTATTATTATTATTATTATTATTATTATTATTATTATTCATTCATTTATTTTTTCAGCTTAGTCTATTTATTGATCTCACTGTTATCCTTTATTCTCAGGTAATGATGCAATTTGTTTATGCTCCACCTTACTTTACTTAAAACTAAGCCAAATATGAGCTAAAGCTTTCCTAATAGAGAAATACAAGGAAAGAAACAGGTCATTTGAACTAATTTCTTAATCTTAATATAATATGACAATCTATTTAAAATTTCAACTTGAAAAAAGAAAACGTTTTCAGATTTTTTTTTTTACATTGCTTCTCCAATACAACAATGCACACACATATATGAATATTACTTGTAGCGCTCAAAATAAATGGCATCCCATAAATTCATTCATTTTCCTTAGATTCATTCATTCGGCTTAGACCCTTTATTCATCAGGGGTCGCCACAACAGAATGAACCGCCAACTTATCCAGCGAATGTTTTACGCAGCGGATGCCCTTCCAGCTGCAACCCATTACCGGGAAAGATCCATACACACTCATTTTCACACATACACTTTGGCCAATTTAGATTATTCAATTCACCTATTCCCCATTTCTTTGGACTGTGGGGAAAACCGAAGCACCCAGAGGAAACCCATACAAACACATACAAACTCCACACAGAAATGCCAACTGGCCATGCCGGGATTCGAA